ACAATCCTAGTGGCACTAAGAAGGTCCCAATCTCTGGCTCAAATGTCTCTCAGCTCCTCTACAATGTCTGTCATTACTCCAGGTTCCCAGCTGGCAGGTTATATAGAATTTGGGGTGTGGTCACTGTTAACGTTGCTGCTGGGTGAGATCAAGTTCGGTCACCACCATCAGCAGGGGCTCCCGCTTGCTTTGGAACTTTCCGTGGCCTATTGCTGGCCAGCTCAAAGGGACACATCCCCTCAAGAGGAAACAACTGGGGAAAATTTCTTATTTAGAGTCCGGCTTGTGAGTCAATGGCTCATAGAAAGCAAGAAGTGAAAGTGGATCATCTTAACATGAGTAGGAACAGCCAAAACTATAAAACATCTGTATTTACTTTAGGGTTTAAATACTTACACAGGCCATGGTGTAGGTCCAAGGGGGTGCACGAGTGGTGGAAAGCAAGTCATTATCAAAAATACATGCTGTGCATAAAAGTTCATACATTAATAGGAATTACCAGTAATGCTGACCTGTAATGTTAGGAGCTTTATGAAGAGAAAGTCTGTGCTGTGATACATGATGAAGTGGTTCATGGGAGAGAGTTGCTTAGTTTGTCCAAAAGATTAAAGATTGGTGAAATGAGGAGGTTAGTATTGAACGCCGGAGGCGGTTAGCAACTGGGAGACAGAGTGAGTGAGGGGTGGCAGCAAGAACAGAATAATGCATTAATTTAAGTGACAGGAATACAGGCATCACACATAGCTGCGCAAGTGGTCACACAGATTTGTGGAATGGATTCATGATATTATGGGTTGCCAAACAGCCAGGATCTCTCAAAGAAATTCCCCGGGAATAGGCAGACAGTGAGGGAAAGCAGAAAGAACACAAAGAGAAGACACGCGGCATATAACAGGCTTTGGAAACAAGACATTAGAAGTAAAGCAGCCCAGAAAGGCAGCAGGTGATGGGAACTATTCAAAGCAAGAATTCATGAGGGAGAAGAGGCCATGTATTTGATGTCCCACTCAGCCACAACCCTGTGTAATAGAGACTTCCAAAGATTCATAACCCTTTGAGCGAAGGACTTTCTCCTTATCTCATTGCTAAAAGCTAGACCCTTATCCCGAGTTTGAGCCTCTTGTGTTTTGTCTCCACTACGTGGGGAACCTTTGAGTCTACCCTTTCAGAATCATTCCTCAAAATTCAAGAGAGTTGAAGACCAAATCTTTTCAAATTATCTTCAAAAGACACTCTCCCATACTACCATCACTACTGAGTGAATCAGTCCTAATACACAGTGCTCCTAAAACTGTGTAAAATTCTAACAAGTTGCCTTATTCCTGTCCTCCATCAATAAAGACCAGCATGTTATTCACCATCCCAAATACTTGCTTAAATCTATGCCAACATCAAAGACAGTGGAGAAGGGAGATCCATATTGTTAAATGATGCTTTCCAACCACTGCCCAGTGAGTATGTCACGAAGAGGTATAGTAGCATCCAGCCTTCGAAGCAGGTAGACCACAGGAACACAATTCAAGCACAATTCAAATATGGAAACAGGACATAAGCATGATAAACGGGAAATGAGCACTGAACTGGAGACTTTTGATACAAGGTACAAGTGTTTGTACTTATTCAGAGAATCTGATTAACAACAAATGCTCAAAACATATGAGGGAGGTGGGAAAATTCATGCCTGAACCCCCTCAGAATGCTTGGGAAAACTCAATTGTGGCAGTGACCAGTCAGGGAAAAATAGCCTCTGAAAAATTAAAAAGTAGCCCTCAAGAAAAGCACTTGGAGAAATAAAGTTGTTTAAACCCCTGATAAAAGGTGTTTAATAACAGATAGCCAATCAAACATAACATCATCATACAATAGAACACAATTTACTTATGCTGACCAGGCCAATGAACAGAGATTGAAAACTGTGAACCCAGGCATGTTGGAGCTGCTGTGCAACATAAAAGCCTTTAGAAACTAGCCAACAAGATACTCAAGTGTCAACATACAAGATCCAGGTTCAAGTCCCAGTTGCCTCAGAGTAGTATTTCAACATGTCCTGACAAGTCAATTCAAAAATACATGCAAACAAGGTGCAGCCACCAGAGAACAATGCTCTGACAAGCAAATAATCTGCTGTTTATCCGAAGTCCTTGTATCCTCATTTATTTTTCAGTCAAGTAATTAAACCAGGTGAATATGAAATTAGCAGTTCTGACATTTGAATTTAATTGTGATTCCTGACAGAGTAAAGCTCTCCCCTTTTCTCAAAATTTCCCCTTCACTTTATCAACCAAACATCCAGCTGACCACCTCACCCATCCCCAGGCCAATCTCAGCAGCTTGTAAGTAAACAGGCACTGTCTTTCCCATGAACTCAGGTCACAAGACACTGGCTCCCTACCTTTTTTCTACATGAACGCCATTTGCTTCAGCTCGAGAAAACAGTTGATTAACCCGGTCTTCTTCAGTCTCAAAATGTTTCCGATAGAAAGACTGAGGAAAGGAAAGGGCAAGTCAGTTCTCAAGGAGAAATCGTATTCCAGAGCCCTATGAAATAATTAGACATATACTCCAATGTGGCACAAACATATCTAGATTGATATATCCATATCCTAGGTACCCCCCCATCCACAAATTATGCAATATCAAAACTTATAATGGGATTCTGCATGTAAACATTGCACTATAGTTTTTGCAATAAAGCAGCAAATAATTCAAAATTCTTTTCAAAAACAAATCCACTCACCATTTCGAAGAACATAAAAACGACTAGTGTCAAATTAATATTTAAATAAAATTTTAAAAACTAAATTAGACCATTTCTTAATGTCTCATTTAAAACTTTTCCTTCAAAGTACAAGCCTGTAACAGAATCAGTTTGCATGCTACAGCTTCTAACCAGACATTCCCCACACAATCACTGTGAAGTAAGCTTTATTTGAATATTATAGTGAAGGCCAACATCAACCGTTATCTTCATGAATGGCACAGGCTCAAGGGGCTGAATGGCCTGTGCCTGGTCTCATCTGTTACATGCTCCATTCTTCCCTCATTTAGCTTTGTGTTTAGAATACAAGTTCAATTGATGATTCTATTCCTGCCCTATGGACTCCAACTCAACAACGAACATGGGAGGGGGACACAGTCAGACACCATGCTAATATACCCACTTTCTCAAGTGCAAGATGAAAGGGCACTGGGTTGCCAGTGAAACTATTGCCCAGTAAGAGTCTGTACCATGAAGGCAATGAATGGAGGTAATGTGTTACTAAAAGGAAAGCTGGAACACGAGTTTTCTGTCAGCACAAGGAAAAAGAATAAGAGCTTTTCTTAAATTCAGTTGTGGGATCCATGGTTGTACTAACATTTTATTGCATGTCCCTAGTTGCCCTCGAAAAGGTAGCTGCTTTCCTGAACAGCTGCAATCCACATGCTGTAGGTTGACCCACAATACCCTTAGGAAGGAAATTCCAGGATTGTGACCCAGCGACAATGCAGGAATGGTGATATATTTCAAGGTCTGGCTGGTGAGTGGCTTCGAGGGGAATTTGCAGGGGGTAGTGTTTCCATGTCTTTGCCCTTCTAGATGGAAGTGGTTGTGGGTTGGAAAGTGCTAAGGATCTTTGGTGAATTCTACAGTCTATCTTGTAGATTGTACACTATTGTATGTAGATGCTACTGAGTGTTGGTGGTGGAAGGAGTGTGTGCCAATCAAGCAGGCTGCTTTGGCCTGGATGGTGTCAAGCTTCTTGAGTGTTGTTGGAGCTGCATCCTTCCAGGCAACTAGGGAGTGAAAAGATGTGAGAAGTAAAAGTTATTCCTTAGAAATGTGATGGATGCATGTTGAATTGAGGTATTCAAGAGGGCACTGGATGATTATTTGGATAGAAATGGTCTGGAGGGATATGGGAAGAGGCATGAAATTGGCACTAAGCAATAACTGCAGATACGATGGCCTGACTGGTACTTTCATTTTCTTGTGACTCCTACGATACAAGACTGAGTACAGCAAATCGATTAAAATTTAGATCCTGCCGTTATATTCAGTGCATGTGGGGAACAGTAATGATCAACTTACCTGGTATCGATAGCCCTTATCCACTCCCAGTGTCTGTGTGCAAAATTTGTGCATGACACCAAACTGTTGCATTAGATAAGCCAGGTCTATTGTCCAGACACTTTCACTGAGCTGTAATCTCCAACAGGCTGTCTGGAATTCCTCATCACTCACAGGATGGAGATATCTTTACACAGGAGGGTGAGAGAGAACAAAGTATTGAACAAGAACTATAGGGGGAAGAGAGGGGGGAAGAGAGGGGAGAAAAGGGGGAAAGAGGGAGAGAGGGGAGGAGAGGGGAGGAAAGGGGACAAAGAGAGGTGAGGAAAGGGGGAAAGAGGGATAGAGGGGGGAAAAGAGAGTGTCACTTACTGCAGGACCATCCTGGAGCAGGCGAGTCCACAGTCCCAGTGAAAGGATTGCTGAATGATAGGAACATTCAACTGAACCAGGTCACCTGTAGCGACAGTGACAGAGAGAGAGTGAGTGAGCCGGGCCCCGCCTTTAGCTTCACCCCCATCAACACACACTGAGCCCGCACTTACCCCTCAGCATCTCCCCCTCACTGGGCTTCATGGTGACCTCTCCCCTGGGGGGGGTTCCTGACGGTAAACCCCCCCCCGCCCCCCAATCTGACAGCTCAGTCCCTGTCCTTCCGATATTAGGACAAACTCCGCAGCTCAGGCCCGCCGGGGGGAGTGAGTGTTTATTCTCTCAGCAACCTCTTGCCCTCCCCTGTGCCAGGAAGAGCGGCGTTTCCCGGAACCTGTGTAAAGGAGAGAGGCGCCGGGGAAAGTGGTCTCTGTCGCACTGACCCCTACAGTGGGCCAGAGAGGGCTTCCGGTTAGAGGTATTCTGGGACCCAGGAGGACCCGTCGGCGCGGTTTTCGCCGGGACAGTGGAGGACTGTTAAAGCGGTGTTCGCTGGGATAGTGGAGGACCGTTAACGAGCTGAGAGTGAAAGGCGCGCTGAGGTAGGAGGAATCATGTCGATCGGAGTTCCCATTAAAGTGCTTCACGAGGCTGAGGGCCATGTGGTGACCTGCGAGACCAACACCGGCGAGGTTTACAGGGGAAAACTCATCGAGGCTGAGGATAATATGAACTGCCAGGTAAAGCGGCTCGTTCCGGCTGGGCGAATGGGGCTCGGTGTGGGGGTGGTGGCCCTTTGGGGTAGGGGGGAGGGTGAGAGCTCCCCGCAGTCTCTGTTCCTTCATCACCCCCACTGGGTCATCGTCTCCTTGCTGATTGTTGGATTTTGCTGTGTATACATTTTACATTGACTGCTATTCTAACCATCTCCATTGGCTTTTAGCCTCTGCTGTGCTTTGTGCTGACGAAATGCTGTCTGCAACCTGCAGCCTTTCTGGTTTCTGAAAAAATTCTTCTCAGTTTCTCCTATTTAACTTCCCAATGCTCATTTTCGGCTGGGCTACCTTTACCCTTATCGTTTTTATCTTCAGGGTTGTACTATTAGGTACAGGAGTAGACTATTCAGGCCATTGGGCCTGCTCTGTGGCTCCATTAATTACGGCTGATCATCTTCTCGTGCTGCTTCCCTGTGTTGTTTTCATATTCCTTTGTCATTAGTCTCCAGCTACTGAATGATTTCTGTTTTGAATATATTCACTGAGTGCTAATCTGTACTGATCCCATCTGCCTACACATGCTCTGTATCACTTTATTCCCTGCCTCTTCATGCATCTGTCTAAATGCTTCCTATGTTACTGTAGTATCTGTTTCTCCCACCTTCCATAGCAGTGCCTTCTAGGCACCTACTACCCATTATGTATTTTAAAAAAAAGAATTCCTTCAGACATCTCCTTTGAACTTTTCCACTCTCACTTCAAACCATGTCCCTAGTTTTTGACATTTCCACCTTGGCGATAAAATCTCTGACAATCCATGCCTCTCATAATTTTGGACCAGGTCATTCCTCAGCCGCTGAACCTCTTGCAAAAACAGTTCAAGTTTGTCCAATCTCACCTTTTATAGTTAATACATTTCAATCCAGGCAACATCCTGGAAAACTTCTTTTGCACCCTCTCCAAAGCCTCCACATCCTTCCTATAGTCTGGTGTCCAGAACAGCGCACAATACTTCAGACATGGCTTAACTCAGGTTTTATACAGCTGCAACATGCCTTGCCAACTTTTATGCTCAATGCCCTGACTGATAAAGGCAAACACATTGTGCACCTTTTTTATCACCTTATCACCTTATCCGCTTAATCTGATGAAGGGTCTAGGCCCGAAACGTCAGCCTTCCTGGTCCTATGATGCTGCTTGGCCTGCTGTGTTAATCCAGCTCTGCACCTTGTTGTTATGGACTTGGACTCCAATATCCCTCTTTATTTCAATGCTTCTGAGGGTCCTGCCATTCCCTGTATACTTTCCTCTTACATTTGACTTCAAAATAAATGACCCCACGCTTATCTGGAATAAAATCCATCTGCCATTTCTTTGCCTAACTTTCCAACTGATCGATATCTTGCTGTATTCTTGGTAATCTTCCGCACCATCCACAACTCCACCAATTTTTTTGGTGTCATCTGCAAACTTAACTAACTAGACCACCTATATTTTCATCCAAATCATTAATGTTTATTACAAACAATAGAGGTCCCTGGCACCAGTTCTTGTCCTGGCAGCAGCAAGAAATCTCCAGTAGTTTAATCACCTTGAAATCATTGCCAAAGTACTGATTTGCCTTTCTAACTGTTGCAGCCCCTGCATTCTAGCTTTTAGTGACTTATGGATGTGCACGCCCAGATCTCTTTGGCTACCCACACTTACCAACCTTTGTGAACTTAAGAAATATTCAGCCCCTTTTTCCATCAAGGTGAATAACTAATCATATTATATTCCATCTGCCGTGCTGTAGCCTATTCACTTCTTGAAGCTTCCTTGCATCCTGCTCACAGCTTGCATTCACAACCAGTTTGGTGCTATCAGCAAATCTGGAAGTACTACAATTGGTTCCCCACATCCACATGTAGGTTGTGAACAAATGTGGACCTAGCACTGAACCTTATAGTACTCCACTGGTAACACCAGCCATCTGGAAAATGAAGCATAAATTGCTGGAAAAACTCAGAAGCTCAGAATCTGTGGTGAGAAAGCTGAGTCATCATTTCGGGTCCAGTGACCCTTCCTCAGAACTGCAATTTCTGTTACTTTCTGTTTTTTGCTTCTGATTTCTAGCATCCACAGTTCTTTTGGATTTTATCCTGAAAATGATCTATTTATACTGTTTTCCATCTAGTAACCAGTAACCAATAACCAAAGGGATCCAGGCTAGTATATTTCCTCCCCCTACTATTCCATGCACTCTAATGTTACTTGCTAATGTCCTGTGTAGGACCCTATCATAAATCTTTTGTGAATCCAAATACACCTCGTGCACTGGCTCTCCTTTTTATATGCTACAAGTAACATCCTCAAGAAATCTCCAACAAATTTGTTAAACATGATTTACCTTTTATAAATCCATGTTGACTGCATAATTTTATATCGTTCTTTTCTAAACATCAAACTATCACATTTTTCATAATTGATTCTAATATTTCCCAACTACTGATGTCAAGCTGAGAGGTCTGGCGCTCCCTGCTCTCCCTCAATCTCTCTCATTAATTACTAGAGATATATTTACCATCTTCTAGTCAACAGGAACCATTCCAGAATCTATAGAATTAGGAACCAACAATGCATCCACTATCTCCATAGCTGCTTTTTGTGTAGTGACTGAGGTAAAGCTCATCTGGTCCAGGAGATTTATCAATTCTTGATCTTGTTAAATTTTTTTAAGTACCATCTCTTGGCTCTTCAGCTTCCATTACCAATGCCTCTCCTGTTCAATTATGACCACTTGTGAGCCTGGGGGCTTCAGGACCTGAGGCCCCTAAGCTCACAAAGATATTTCGTAATATTCTCTTATGGACACAGTCTGGTGGTTTCCTTTTCATCTAACTTGACAGAGGACAGGCATATGTGGTTAACTGTTAGCAGGTGCAGTGCTGAGAGACTGTTGTTAGAGATCAAGGCTTCATCTGCCCTCTAATATGGATATAAAAGTTCCTACGGCTCTGTTACTAAGAGGAGGAGAGTTCGCTCCAACCTCTTGGTCGATTTTTATCTCTACTCCAAGAACAGCAAACGTGATTAGATTATTATAACATAGCTGTTTGTCAGTGTTTGCTATCTGAATGTTGGTTGCTGATTTTCTATGATACAATAGTGACAACACTTCAAAAATATGGATTGTTGTATGGTAGAACAGAATGCAAGTATTGCTGAAAAGGAGATATTTTTTCAAAGTTTTTTTTGTCTTGCACTCATCAGGAGGGTTGTCAGTTAGGCTGGCAGTGTAGGTGGGTTTGTGCGTACTGGAAGCTACATGAGTTAATACATGGGGGCCTGTTCTCTGCAGACTGAAAGAGCATGAGCGCACACACAACACCTGTTTCAACCCCACATCGTAGGTGACACATTTTCCTGGTTCATGTCTCAGGGTAATGCCCTGACCAGTCTAGAGTCAACCTGCCTGGTTTAAAATTTAGACAAGGCCTGGCAGTTAACTGTGAATCATCTTTAACTGGTTCATTCCCCATGGGAAACCTTCTGCTAGTCAGAGCCCTCTTGCCAATCAATTAACACTCTCCTCTAATAGAGTATAAAGTTGGTTTTACTTTTGATTTTATCCAGAGGATGTGACAGAATCTGATGGGGCCTTAATCAGGTATTAGGGGAGAATCATTCTCCCTTTTCTCTTCCAAAGGGATGTGGACCTTCTGCTGATGGAATTCAGAGCTTGTCGACCAGAATTGCCCAGGAGCTCCTTGTCTTTACTTTGTCATAGAGTCTTACAGAATGGAAACAGACCCTTCAGTCCAACCAGTCCACACCGACCATGTTCCCAAACTAAACTAGTCCCACCTGTCTGCGCTTGGCCCATATTCTTCCAAACCTTTCCTATTCATGAACTTATCCAAATGTCTTTTAAACATGATAACTGTACCTGCATTCACCACATCACCTGGCAGTTCACTCCAGACATGAACCACTCTTATGTACTTAAACAAAATGTTGCCCATATCCTTTTTTTTAAATGTTCGTCCTTCAAAATATGCCCCTTGGTTTTGAATGCGCCCACCATCCTAGCAAAAAGACCTTTTCATTCACCATATCTATGTGCCTCATGATTTTATAAACCTCAATAAGGTCACCCATCAACCTCCTACACTCCAGTGAAAAAAGTCACAACCTTTATAGTCTATTTTTATATCTCAAACCCTCCATTCTTGGCAACATCCTGGTAAATCTTTTCTGAACCCTCTACAGTTTAATAATATCCTTCCTATAACAGGGTGACCAGAATTGCATACAGTACTCCAGAAGAGCCTCACCAACGTCCTGTGCAGCCTCAACATGACATCCGAACTCCTAGACTCAAAGGTCTGAGCAATGAAGGCAAGCATGGAAAACATGTTCTTAACCATCCTGTCTACCTGAGATGCAAATTTCAAAGAATTATTATGTGAACCTGTAGGTCTCTCTGTTATGCAACACTACCAGAGCCCTCCCATTTTTTATATATGTCTTGTCCTTGTTTGTTTTACCAAAATGCAATACCTCACCTTCATCCAAATTAAACTCCATCTGCCACTCCGCAGCTCATTCACTCAATTGATCAAGATCTCTTTGTAGTCTTGGATAACCTTCTTCACTGTCCACAGTACCACCAATTTTGATGTCATCTGCAAACTTACTAACCGTGCTTTCTATATTCTCATCCAAATCATTTATATAAATGACAAACAACAATTTGCCCCCATCAGACACTCCTGGGGTGTGGACAACACTGGGTTAAGCCTAGAGCAAAGCTAACTCTACTTTTTTTTTAAAAGCAGAAAAATCACAGTTTCCCCGACTTTTGATCCAAAATGAAACACCAGTGACTCTGGAAAAAGAAAAACAACAAGTAAAAAATGGCTTTTCTCAACTATATCGTTCCCCCCTCCCAACTCTTTGGGAAGGGGCAACAAGGAATCAAAATGTAGAATAAATTTTGCTTGATAAAATAACAGCCCCCATGGCTCTTCCAGTGGGTCAAAAATTGAAACAAAGGAAAAATAAGACAGCCCTCCTCCAGGGGCACCAACCCAAAAAACAAAACACAACTCAAAAGGCAAAATGGAAACTTGTATTACAGAAACAAAAAGATTTACTAAATCAAAATGTTCTTGTTCAGGTTTGTGATGCTGTCCAGCCACCCTGGTGCCCATCGGTCATGAAAGGGCTCAACCGTACTGGTGAGCACCAAATGCCCCTCCTCCAGGGTTGCCTGAACACGGACATAACCATGAAAGAGGGGCAGACAGTCAGGGACAACAAGCCCCTCCTTGATCTGCTGCCTGGACCTGTTAATGACCATCTTGGCCAGACCCGGGACAAAAGCTACGAGAAGGTCCGTAGTCTTGTTCACCCTTCCCTGTACCGGTTGTCCGTAGATTAGGAGTGGGGCTGGAGTGCAATCAAAATTTCAACAGCAGCCCCTTCAAAAAAAAACAAAAACGGGCTGCAGATGAATGCACTCAACATATAAGTGGAAGACTGCCTCCTCCAGGCCAGAGAACGTGTACGTGGTCTGGCACCCGATAAATTTGCTTAGTCACTGGTTGCACGTGAGAACAACCCTTTACCATCACTCTGTCTTCTGCCGTTAAGCCAATTTTGTATTCAATTAGCAAGCTCACCCTGAGTCCTATGTGATCTAGCTTTACAAATAAGTCTACCATGCGGAACCTTGTCAAGGCTTTACTAAAGTCAAAGTAAACAATGCCTTCTGCCTTATTCAATCTTTTTGGCTACTTCATTTAAAAAAACTCAATCAAGTTTGAGACACTATTTTCCTGGCACAAAACCATGCTGATCAACGCTTGCCTACCCAAACGCATGTAAATCCTATCTTTCAGAATCCCCTGCTACCAATGCCAGACTCTCAGAGCTGTAGTTTTCAAGCTTCTCCTTGCAGCATTCCTTAAAATGGCACAACATTAGCCACTCTCCAGTCCTCCACCCACGCTTATAGATGATACAAATATTTCTGCTGGGACCACGCAATTTCCTTCCTAACTTCCACAGCATTCTGGGATACACTTGATCAGGTGCTGGAGATTTAGCCACCTTTTATATTTTCTAAGACCTCCAGCACTTCCTTTTCTGTAATGTGATCTGTTTTCAAAACATCACTATTTATTTCCCTGAGTTCTCTACACCCCATTTCTTTCTCAACTGTAAAAATTGACATGAAATATTCATTTATATCTCTCCCATCTTCTGAGGTTCAACACAAAGATGACCTTATTGATCTTTAAGGGGTCCTACTCTCTCTCTAGTTGTTCTCTTGCACTTCATGTATTTGTAGAATCTTTTTGTATTATTTTTAATCTTGCCTGGTAGTGCTATCTGATATCGCCTCTTTGCCTTCCTGATTTCCTTCTTAAGAATGTTCCTACACGCTTTATACTGTTGAAGAGATTCAGTTGATCCCAGTTGTCTATATCTAAGATTCTTTTATTCTTGACTGGAACTTCAATATTTTTGTTCATCCATTGTTCCCTACTCTTACCAGCCTTGCCTTTCACTCTTAACAGGAACATAATGCATCTGAATTCTCATTATCACACTTTTGCAAGCCTCCCACTTGTCTGTCGTCCCTTTGTTATTGAAGAGTTTCCTTCTCTATATAATTTATTCTTGGTTTTAATCATTCCCAGCAAGATTGCACCCTTCGGGTCTGCTCTGCCATTTCAGTGGGATCATGGCTGATCTGATTGTGGTGAAGAACATAGATGTCTGTCCCCACAACTGTCGAGTCATTTATGTATCAAAAGTCTGTCTAATTCAGCTCTGCTGCTGTCTGAGAAAGAGAATTCTGAATGTGAACAACACTCTAAAATAAGAACGTAGGACCAGGATCTGTATATTTGGAACTTTTAACTTTCACTTGTGATTTTACAAAACTTAGAATAATACAAGGAATGAGAGGAGCCTGGTGTTCCAATTCTTCCCTTTCTTCCAAATCTACTCTTCCCGCTCGCAGCCTCCCAAGTTTCAATCGTTTTAAGTTTCTGCGAGTATTCTTCATACTGCCCAAGAGAAGGTCTCTCCTGTATCAATTGTTACCACCCTGATGTGTGCCGATCCAGAGCTCAGGTGTCTGCTCATCAGGGCTATCTGCAGCAGGATTTGAACCTCCTGGTTCAGAGGTAAGGGTCCCAGCATTAGGCCAAAGTCTCGCTCTGTGTCCCTTGCTGCAGGTTTCTTTTCCAGTCCCATCTTTCAGATACAGTAACTACTGTGTTCCGTTTTGGACAGATGTTTTATACATCTCTGTATGTTTTAGAGCTGTGTCGTCCCAGTGGTTTCAGCTGGTGTCTTAGTGATCTATTAAATATGAGATGCCAATAGTCCCTCTCTCTTTAGATACGTGTGTGGTGTTTCTGTATTGTGGACAGTGCTGTGCTGGCTTTATTTTCCACTTGGGTTTTGTTACTGAATATTAACTGTTAACATAATTGTGCCCCCCTGGTTTCAGAGCTGACTGACCTTGTCCCCATTTGCTCTATAGATGTCCAATATCACTGTCACCTACCGGGATGGGCGCGTGGCTCAGCTAGAACAGGTCTACATCCGTGGAAGCAAGATTCGCTTCCTGATACTACCTGATATGCTGAAAAATGCACCCATGTTAAAGAGCATGAAGAACAAAAACCAGGGAACTGGGGCTGGCCGAGGGAAAGCTGCCATCCTCAAAGCTCAAGGTTTGTGTGTCTGTGTCCTAAATCTAGGCTTTTACTGGTGGCATTGAGTTGTCTGTTGCCCCTCACCCCCCTCATTACAGAGCCTGCTGAGGTCACTACACTGTACTTCCTGATACCTGGAATATTGAGCTATCACCAAGGGGATCAAACTGTCCTCTCTACTGCCAGTGAAAGTACTTGAACAGGATGCCTAGTTAGAAAATCAAGGAAGAGTACATTTCTACTTGATGGACTTTGATAGATTCTTGGGCACAAAGAGATGTAGAGGTTCACGTGGATGTAGAAGTGCAAACTGAATTTATGGATTGACTGCTGACCTGTTTTACAGCAGTGTAGAGCAAGCTTCACTCTAACTAACCCCCTGCTGACATTGTCCTGGGTATGTTTGATGGGGACAGTGTCCAGGAAGCTTTATTTCAGCATAAAAGAATACGAAGACAGTAGCAGTAGCGGCAACTTTATTCTCTGTCTCACCCTTTGCTGTACCTGTTTTAGGTGTGTTTGATGGGGACAGTGTCGTGGGGCTTTGCTTTCAGTTTTAAAAGTACAAAGAACCTTACTTTTAGTTTAAAAGAGTAGAGAGAGGTTTACTCTGTATCTAACTCTCTGCTGTCCTTGTCCTGGGAGTGGTTGATGAGGCAGTGTTGAGGGAGCTTTACTTTCAGTTTAAAAGAGTAGTGGAAGCTTTACTCTGTACCTAAACCTATGCTGTTCCATACTTTGGAGGATTTCATTAGATAGTGTAGAAAAAGCTTTACTTTTAGTTTTGAAAGAATAGAAGCAGCTTCACAGTGTGTCTAACACTGTCCTGTACCTATCCTGGGAAATATTCATGGCGATAGTGTAGAAGAAGTTTATTTTCAGTTTAAAAGATTAGAGGCAGCTTTACTATAACTAACCCCAAGCTGTATCTGCCGTGGTAGTTTGATGGGGTCAGTGCAAAGGGAGCTTGACTTTTAGCTTAAAACAGTAAAGACAGCATTACTTTCAGTTTAATACAGTAGAGGCAGTTTGACTTTTGGTTTATAAGAGAAGGGGGAGAATCTATTCCCTCGAGCACTGCAAAGTCACGAAGACCAAATCATTGAAATTCAATTTTATTTTTTCCACAGTGGCTGCTCGAGGGCGAGGCCGTGGGATGGGCCGTGGAAACATTTTTCAGAAGAGGAGGTGAGGCAGTCTCTGCCTTTTCTCATTACCCAGGAGGAGTTCCAGGATTTCTTTGTGTATTTTTATTTTATAATTCCGTAGAATGACGAAGTCTGGTTTGTTTAGATATGTTGCCAATAAAATGTTCTTTTCCATAGCCTATGTCTGTGTTTTATCTTTGCAGATGTATGTGATTAATTAGCGAGATAAACTGCTCTTCTGACAGTGACCATGCTGAATTCTGTCTTGATTTGTCTTTCTTCATCCTTTTTTCCTTACTTACCACCTTTATTTTCTGTCATGGACTCTTTTCATCATTGAATCTTATAAAATAAGCTGTGATTATTGGACCCATCATGTCTGAAAGAGCCTTCTAAATAGTTCCACTGCTTTGTGCTGTCAATCTATCTCTTTATAATCCCCTCTCCAGTGTCTGTCAGATTGGTTCACTGGCAGCAAAACTGGATTTCAGCATTGCTAAAAAGAGACATGAAGATGAAGTTTTCTTTTAATCTTGCTCTCATCAGCACTGAAGTGCGAAAGAACAACAATTTATGCAAGATTGGAAGATGTTGATTAGTATAGGAGTGTAAGATCTGTTAATTGTCGATTTGTGCTAATTAAACTGGTCCGGTTATTGCCATGGGGAATGTAGCAGGTATTTGGTAGTTTCCTGCCCCTTTCCTCTATGAAACAGTGCAATGTCTAGACCTGTTACCTGCAATCTCCGGAGTGCTCTGTGTGAATATTTGTAGCTTCTAGCATGCATGAATAAATTGCACTATGAGCTCAAATGGTACACTTGAATTGCTTTCCAGTATAGTTCTGAGTGCAGTCAAGATTGTTCAGTAAATGATGTCCAAAGGCGAGTCATATTTAAGATTGAACACGGTGTTATGAGTTTTGCGACTGCTGGCTGGACGTAGTTGGCACACTAGCCGCTGCAGAAACTGAAAGTGACATATTTGCTAACACGTAAGATTTGTAGCCCATGTAGCTGGCATCACATTAGCGCTGAAACTCCTATAGCATGTGTGATCAGCTAACAGTAGGTTGGAGGGAGGATTGTATGGTTCACAGTGTGAGATGCGCACACCCTGTAAGTGCAGACAGTCCTGATTCAAGGACTACCAGACATATGCATTCCACTGGGACCTAGCCAGAAAGAGGATGCTGCGAGGGCGTTTGGTCTTCTGATTGAAGAAGGAAAAATGCTATTTTATTTGAGGCTTTAAATGGCTGCAAAACTTTGACTCCATTACCAAGTCTTTAATCAGCAGGTATGTTGTGTTGTAGCTACCACAAGTTTAAGCAGAGCTTATTTACCCCTTCCCCAAGGGAGGAGATGCACTTGTGTGTTACGCAGTTGACAAGGGTGTCTTGATTATTCAAGCAAGTGCACGTACAAGTCTCCTAAGGATGACACTTATTTAAGATAGGGATCGCATGGTGGCTCACTCACTCAATACATATTTTCAAAATCAAGATCCTGTCCTTTGGAGGAAGGTGGAACATGTTCAGGTATTGTGAGTTTTGCATTAAACAAAAGCCTGGGGACAATAGTTATCTAGAGTTTTTTATGGTAATGACTATTAAGAATTTTTGCCACTCATTCTGGAGAATAAATTATTACCTTTTGAAATTTGGCATTCTAATGGAGAGACAGCGGAGTTACAGAAATCTCGCTGGACTGGTAATTCAGAGGCACAGGGTAATGGAGACATGGGTTCAAATCCCAACATGGCAGCAGGTGAAAATTCAATTCAATTAATAAATCTGGAATTGAAATTGGCCTCAGTAAAGGTGACCATGAAACCATCGTTGATATAAAAGCACATCTGATTTACTAGTGTCCTTTAGGGAAGGAAATCGACCGTCCTTACCTGGTCTGACCTATGCATGACTCCAGATCTGCAGTAATATAGTTGGTTTGAAATGGTCAATCAAAGACAATTAAGGCAGGTAACCAATGTTGTCCACATCCTATGAAAGACTTCTTTAAAAATACTGCATGTATCTTGATAAATGCAAAACAAACATGGTGGCTCAGTGGTTAGCACTGCTGCCTCACAGTGCCAGGGACCTGGGTTCAATTCCAGCCTCGGCTGAGTGTTTGCAGAGTTTGCACATTCTCCCCATGTCGGCGTTGGTTTGTTGCTGTACAGTCCAAAGATGCACTGGTTAGGTGGAATGGCCATGCTAAATTACCCATAGTGTCCAGGGTTGTGCAGGTTGTATAGATTACCTTGGGAAATGCAGAATTACAGGGATTGGGTGGGATGCTGTTTGGAAGGTCAGTGTGGACTTGAATGGCCTGCTTCCATACTGTAGGGATTCTATGAAACCTGTTAGTGTCAGTTGCACAAACTAATCACAATGAGCACATTGTCCCTCCAAATGACCACCTTTGTCTATAGTCATCACAGACCAGCATCACCTCAAAAATTGTGTATGGAGTACTTGCATTTAGTCAATGTGTATCAGTCATCAATAACCTATTTTTATGCATAAATAAATCAACTGGTTTAGAAGATTTGGGCAGGACTGGGACAGAAGTCAGGAGGGTGGGCTGTGCTAGTGCTGTTTGGGAGGTTTTAAGCAATGTGGCAGGAGAATGGGAACCTGAGCAAAGTTGAGGGAAACATGGACAGAAATAAAAGACAGAAAGGTAAGAAGCAAAAGTGGAAGGCAGAAAACCAACAAAGGCAAGAAACGAATGGAGCCACGTGCAAAATAAACCTAAGAAGACAAATAAGGTTAAGAAGACTACATACGATTCCAGTTGCTCTTCTTTTGAAAGAATGTTGTCACACTTGACAGTGTGCAGAAAAGATTTATGTAAACTATATTTAAGACGTAGATGGGTTCTTGATTAGTAAGGGGATCAAAGCTTATAGACAAAAGGCTGGAGAATGGGGTTGAGAAACGTATCAGATATGATTGAATGATGGAACAGCCCTGATTTTGCTCCTATATCTCATGGTGTTATAGTCTTTCTTTGTGAATACGGAAACAAAGTATGTGTTCAATTCTTCTGCTATTTCTTTGTTCCCCTTTATAACTTGCCTGGTTTCTGACTGTAAGGGGCCTATATTTGTATTTACAAATCTTTTTCCTCTTCACACATTGAAAGAAGCTTAAGTATGTTGCTGGGACTGGAGAGTTCGAATTATAATGAGAGGCTGGATAGGCTGGGACTTTTCTCCCTGGAGGGTTGGAGGCTGAGGGGTGGACCTTGCAGAGGTTTATAAAATCATGAGGGGTATAGATAGGGTGGATAGCCAAGGTGGGGGAGTCTAAAACTAAAGGGCATAAGTTTTTAAAGTGAGAGGAGAAAGATTTAAAAAAGACCCGAGGGGTAACTTTTATCACGCACAGTGTAGTGTGTATGGAAAAAGCTGCCAGAGGAAGTGGAGGAGGCTGGTACAATTACAACATTTAAAAGGCATCTAGATGGGTATATGAATAGGAAAGGTTTAGACAGATACGGGCCAAATAGAACATAGAAGTACAGCACAGGAATGGGCCCTTCAGCCCACGATGTTATACCAAATATGACACCAAATGAAACTAATTCCTTCTGCCTGCCCTTGGTCCACATCCCTCCATTCCTTGCATATTCATGTGCTTATGTAAAAGTCCCTTAAATGCCCCTATTGTATCTGCCTCCACTACCACCCCTGGCAGTGCGTTCCAGATATCTACCACTCACTGTAAAAAAACCTGCCCCTCATGTCTTGTTTGAACTTGCTCTCCTCACCTTAAATGCATGCCCCCCCGCCCCCAGTATTAGACATTTCAACTCTGGGAGAAAGATTTTAGCCGTCTATGCATTTCATCATTTTATAAACTTCTATCAAGTCTCCCCTCAGCCTCTGCTGCTCAAGAGAAAACAGCCTGAGTTTTTCTGCTAAGTCTCTTCTTATAGCTCATACCGTCTAAACGAGGCAGCATCCTGCTAAACCCCTTCTGCACTCTCTCCAAAGCGCCACATCCTTCCTGTAATATGGTGACTAGAATTGAATGCAATACTCTAAATGTGGCCTTACTGAAGTTGCAACTGCAACATGACGTCCTGACTCTTGTACTCAATTTCCCAACCAATAAAGGCAAGCATGCCCATACGCCTTCTTTACCACCACATCCCACTTTCAGGGAGCTACAAACTGGCCAATGAGACAAGGTCAGATTGGGGTGACTGGCCGGCACAGACAAGTTGGACTGACAGTCTGTTTCCATACTGTATGACTCTATGACTAAAAGTCTTTAGCATTTGCAATAAGGTAGATGAATTAGCAGCACAAAAAGATATAAATAGTTCTGATATAGTTGAGATGATAGAGGTCTGGCTGCGCAGTTACCAAGCATAGGAACTGAAATATCATTCATTATTTAGGAAGGACGGACAAAAACGGAAATGAGGTGGGGTAGCATTGTTACTAAAGGAGTAAGAGGCGGAATATTGGCTCAGAAAATCACAATGTGGGTTCTGTATGGGTAGAGATAAGAAACATCAGGCACAGAAAATGTTTTTTGTTGGTTGTCTATAGGCCCCAAACTGTGGTGAACATGTAAAGGAAGGCATTAAATAAGAAATCAGAGTTGCATGCAGTAAGAGCACAACTGTAATCATGATTTACAGATAGATTGGACAAATCAAACCAGCAATGGCATTGTGGAAGAGGATTTCCTGTAGTATGTACGTGATATTTTTTCCACCTACATATTGAGGTACCAGTCAGAGAACAGCAGGCCCAGACTGGGTATATTATATAACAAGAAAGGATTAATTAACAATCTTGTTGTGCAGGGTCATGTAGGGAAGAGCAACCATAATATGATAGAATTCTGCATTAACATGGAGAACAAAGTTGTTGAATCAAATGCTAAGATCCTTAATCAAAATAGTGGAAAATATAGGATATGAGGTGTGAATTGGCAAAGATGAACTGGGGACCTTCCTAAATGGATTGACTGTGGATAGGCAATGGACCATACCAAAAGAATGTGCCTGAATTACAACAATTGTTTATTCCTTGTCCAGCACAAAAATAAAAGGGAAAGTGGCTCAATTTAAAATATGGTTTATCTACAGGGTTAGTGGGTAGAGCTTAAATTGTCACAGTGAGGGTTTTGAGGATTGTGCACTTCTGGCTG